GTTGAAGATAGAGTGACCTTCTTCGTGTACAGACAGACTGCGCATTTACTAATGAAGAAAAGTTTGCCACGACTGATGGCAAATCCCTAGGCGGCTGATTGGATGAACCCTCATTGCAGCACACTTGCTGCGTGGATAGGTTAAATCAAATTTCGATTTTCCATGGCACGAACATCTTACCGTAATATACAAAATTGCTTTAGGGCTTCATTTTACGCTCTGAGATCGCACAAAGAAACTGAACTAACACGTCGTACGTCTTTGCAAGTTTTGTCACTCGTTTTCTACTCAGCTTCCATAATTTTCACTGGGTTTATTGCTTCTAGTCATGAGCGCGGAGTCTTCAATGTGAAACCAACTTATTGGCACTAGTCGTTATGATTTATGAGCATAGTTGCCTTATTATGCAGTCTGTCTATCCTATGCGCTGCAGGCACTCAAATGCCATGGTCTGTTCGAGTGGTCCACCTGTGTGTCCAAAGGCACGTTATATGTTGCCCGATGACCCGGCGTGATGACTTTTACCAACCTTACACTACGGCAATGTCCACTTGTAAATAAAAATAGTTTTTATTTTCATCTAAGGTCGAAGGTCGAAATTTGCTCGAAACCCAGTCCACAGCCACAGGTCGTCATGACCTCTTTATCCAACGTCCCAATTTAGCGAAAACAAGTTTCAGCCGAAGCTACTAAGCGATCCGCATGCCACTCGTCATGCACTGCTGGCGATAGAACGCCAAATCCGAGGTGATGATTGATCGTTTAAAAATTCCAGTCATGCAATCAGTATAAATCGAGGTACCATCCGTGCGCACTGATGACCGCACGACGGTGTTTATGTCGTTTAAAGCCGGTGGCGACCGTTCGAACTTCTGCATGGCCAAGCGAACACCATTCGGTCGTCAACAAACAATGGTTGAAACGACGCTTCAAGAAGCACCAGTCTTGATCACTGCTCTAAACGACCTTTTCTCATTTAAACATCGTACTTCTGAGCTGACCATTACGGTTGGAGAAAAGATTACGATTGCTCAGCCTCTGTTGAGGGTCATAATCATAATCGAGAGATCCCGGCTTGATCCCAGCTTTAAGCCCTGGTCAGGTCACTCGCCTTCTGAGTCTTCTGAGGCTGACGAATGACTACCTCTTTGTGACAAAGAATCTACGGACTGCATGCAACGCTTGCCATATACCTATAGAATTCTGATTTTAAGAAAGGCACTCCTGGCATAGAAACGGAAACCAGCGTCGCTGCACAAACGGCACGAAATGAAGGGCGCCATAAATGACCACAAGACCAGAACGTGTAAGTAATAGAGACCGACAACCCAACGGTAAAAAATTTCTTTTCCTTACTTTCAAGAAAACAAGGCATGCGAGAGGTAGGGAAATGTGCGTTGAGTTCAGATGTATCCCACATTAACCTTAACACCACCTTTAGTGGCTCTTCTGGCTAATGGCAAAGAAACGGAGATCATTGCTGCATCATCAGCTCCATGACAAACGGTGTCACAAATGGCATTAACCTGCAGCTGGAAAGATGACAGTTCTCCTGACAATTACATTCTTTACTTGCTTTGCATTTTTCAGCAGTTTTTTAATTCAAAAAGGAAAGCTTGATATGCGTAATTGCCTGTCAATTGAGACGATGAATGACTAAGCTCCTGAAGACCATGCATTCGTTAGTTAGCATAAATAACGTTAAGAAACACCTTAAAATCCATGAAAAAACCATTACCGGTCATCCATCAATCACATTTGAAATTTGGCAACTCTGTAAAGAAGACTGGCAAACCTGGTTCGAGAGATCCGTCCAAAGATGATACGTTAGAATGGCACGAGTCTTTCACGTTCACCGACATGTTGCTGGTTTTCAAAAAAAGAATGACCGATGACCAGAGAGTGCCCTGACGCGCTTAACCGAGCATCGGGGCCACAATCAATGACGAACGTGTCGGCTAAACCCCGTCGCGAGTCAACAGCAGCGCTGTCATCGTCGGCCTTCTATGAGATCAGCAGTCGAGGGCCGCAGAGCCGCCATTGTGTGAAAACGAACTGTCGCCCAT